TGTCCCGGCCCTCTGCCCTCCTTCTGTTCTCCTGGGTGCCAACGCTGGGCTTTGACTGGAAACCAGGATGAAATATTGAGTAGCACGAGGCTGACCCAGCCTGGCCCCTTCCATATCCCACACCGAGGAGCCTGGTGAGGCTTGAGAGGAAGGCAGAGGGCTATAGTATGTTCCTGGAATTGAACAGAACAGGTTGTCTGTGTTAATTCTGCAGGAAGCCAGTCACCCAGAAAACGGATCTGACTGGCCACAAGTCTGGAAGTCTTGGAAGCATTATTTCCCTGTGCCCTTAGCCTCAGCCAGACTTGTTTCTGGGTCTAGATGCTGACGAATTCCTCAGTGAACCCCACACGAGTGACTTTCTGCAGCCTGTGTGCCTCTCCGCCCAGTGCGCGTCAGTGACACATCCACGTTTGCCCATCACCCTGCTAAGTCAGGCTGCAGGCTCAGCTTCCTGGAATGACCCATCCTTCCCCAGCAGTGACGCTGAGGTCACTGATGATGCCTGAGGATGAGGAAACTGAGGCTCAGAGGCTGCATACTAGCAGGGAGTTCTGGCTCATATCCAGGCATGTCTGACTCCAAGGACACAGTTATGCATGAGTTCCCAGCCTCACAAAGCTTAGGCTAACCCACCAGGGCACCTGTGCATACAAAAGCTGTTCTTAATGGCCTAGAAAATGTGTGTCATGGTTTGCAACATCAGACTATATAAATACACCCAGTCTTTATTTTTTTTTCTCCCTTTTGAAGCCCAGGGCACATAACCGTTCAAGAGGAGATTCTTCCCACTGGGCTTACAGGCCTCCACTATGGGGCCCTCTTGCATGGATGCTCCTGTCCCCATCTTGGAGCTTTCTCCATGCTCTTGGCTGTGCAGCAGCTTCCTGTCCTCTCTGGAGGGTGCAGATCACTCCGTGAGCTGGCACTGTGCTCTGTCAGCTCTCAGCTGGAAAATGAAGGCACTGTCCTCTTGCACAGACGTTCAAGAAATGACACATCTCCAAGGGAGCCAAGGGGGTAGATTGTCCTCCGGAGGTGGTGTGGGTGGCAAGGTGGGGCAACTCCCTCACACTTGACTGTGTCCTTATCGGCTTCTAGTCAGAGTAGCGAGTACCCGGGCTTCCCACTGGGTGCTGCAGAAGCTGTGCTCTGTGATGAAGACCACATGAGAATCTTCTGGAGGCTCCATCTTCACTTCAAAGACACGCTGGGGGTTCAACTCCTTTAATTATATCCCTCTTGTTGGTTTATGGTTCTCCCCATCTTCAGAACAACAGATCAGTTTCTTCTCCTTTGGTACCCAGCAATAAAAGTCTTTGAGTTCAACGGTGTTCCTAACAAAGGCATATGATGCTTGGGCTGGGCAGTGAGTGGAGAAACATGGACCTCAGTGGCTTTCAGTCCTTGTGGAAGGTCACACAGTACTCATTAGGAAGCCATTCAAACTGGAGGCTGTAAAGTTTCGAAGCCCAGACTTTTAGCCACTCTGTGAAACTGCTTCACAGAGCATTGGTTAAGTAAAAAGGACTTGAACCTTTGAGTTGGCAAACCTCATTAGACAGGCCTAGAAAGCAAGAAATGACAAACTTGCACTGAGTTGGACGTGTAGGTACCCCTGAGTTGGATATGTGTGTACCATCCATAGAGCACAAAGAAGATGGGATGGTGGGAAGATGGATAGATTGGCATATGGACACAGAATAGATGGACAAACAGGGGGGCAGAAAGAGGAAATGATGGGATAGAGGAATTAAAAAGGAGAAGGGAGGGGCTAATGGGTGATTGATTAGGTAGATGGCTAGAGGGGAAGGTAATGCATGGTAAATGGATGGGTAGAAGAGAAAGATGGGTAGATAAGTTGTTGGGTACATGGATGGATGGGATGGATACATGGGAGAATGGTGGATGGATAGATACATGGATGGATGGATGGATGGATGGATGGATGGATGGATGGATGGATGGATTGGTGAGTGGGTGGGTGGGTGAGCGAATGGGTGAATCAAAAAGTAGGCAGATTAAGAGACCGAGTCCAGAAAGGCAAACAACTCCTAGAAAGACTCTCAGAAAGGCAGAACCAGGATGAGAAGCCCCATCTTCCTTTCTACTCATTGTTGGGACCACAAACTCCTGAGATGGACACGGCAGTTTCCTCCTGGGCCAGGGATCTGTAGATAACAGTTACTCAGACTGAGGCCAAACCCAGACTAAGCTTTGAGTTGACCTAGTCCTGAGGTCCTCTCCCTCCCTGTGAGTCTGCACGTAGCATTCTGCCATGCCCGGAAGAGACTCTTGCATGCTGTCAGTCACTCCACATGGCAGACATTATCTTTCCTCCTATTCCTTAAAAGAGGAAACCAGAACTCAGAGAGCACAAGCCACTTGTCACTTGCTCTTGGCCTTCTGCAAAGACAGACAGAGGTGAGGCTAGGATCCAGCCTTCACCTCACAGACCCATTTTAACTTCATAGCAGCATGCAAGGAGGACAGAACTGTAGGTTCATGCCAACTGCAGGAACAGAAACTGAGGTTCTCTACCCAGCTGACAGTGGCCCACAGGAAGTCACGCTGACCCCAAAGCCAAATCCAGGCATAATCTGCCAGTAGACAGAGCACAAACCTGGACCAGGCATGGTGTTACGCATGTCATCTTGCCTCCTCATACCTCAGTTTACTTTTCTGTTAAATGGGTCTGGAGATGGGGGAAGATAACCCCCCCCACACACACTGCCTTTGTTCTAGCTCTGTCCCTGGCTGGCACTTGTTGCTGATGGCGTTCACCCTCCTGCCGCTCTCAACACCACATCTTCAGATTATAGAGAGTCCCCCTTCTCAGAGTTTCAGCACAAACTGAACTAATTCAGAGCCACCATGGGTTGATAGTCTATGGCACATGCAGGTTCATGCCTGACACTCGCCACACTTCCTAAATGGTGGCTGCCGTGTATGTGGGGAGGTGGTGAAGAGCCAGGAGGAGCCACCAAGTCACAGCCCACAGTCAGTCACCTTGGGAAAGGTAATGTGTGGAGACAAGGGTCTCATTTCCACTCAGGCCTGGCCTTGGATTTATCACATCCCACTACTTCCCGGCTGAGTGCCTTTGGCGAGGCTGACCCTCTGTAAGGGGAGTGGAGATGCCGATCAAAACACTCCCCGATTAGCACTGTGAAACTGTGACAGACAGACAGGCCGCGCCAGGCCAAGCAGTGGGTACGTAGACCTTCCTGCTCTGGCCTCCAAGGGGAAGATGGCACTTGTGTCTCCTTTATTCTTCTTTGCACTCCACTTTCCTGTGTTCTAGTTTATGCTGTGTTCCTCAGGAGTTACTGCCCGACTGTCTGATGCTAGATCTGTGCCAGCCCTGAGAGCGAGGGGGTGGGCTAGGCCGCTCTCTACAGCTCCTGTCCCTTCTGTAGGAAGACAGGACAGGATCTCGGGTTCCCCCAGAAGAGGAACCAGGCCTTCTACTTCTGAAACGTCTGGCTTTACTAGCTGGAGAGCCCACGCGAGCATGGAGGAACTAGGGTGTTCTCTATCACCTGACAGTGGAGTCAAGTGGATGGCCAGAACACCCGAAGAGCAAGTGTGGAGGGGCCTCTGGAGCCTGGACCATTACTTCCTCCTCACAGCCCCTACCCTCCGCTTCCAGTTCTCCCCTCCCCCACTCGTTTTTTAGAGATTCTCAGCTCCTCCCCTGTGCTAAAGACATTTTTCCCAGTTGCTACAACCTTCTCTCCATCTGCTCCCTGCCTGTGCAGAGTGGCAAGGTGGGGTGGGGGAGGGGAGGGCTTTGAACTGGGAGTGAGGGGCCTGGGAAGCCAGCTGGGCCTGTGAAACTCTGCAGAACAAGGAGGTCGGTCTCCCTTGGTATGAGGCATCTCCACCTGGCCCTTGGCCAATGCCTGGCTACAAGTGGCTGCTTGTCTCCTCTGTGGAAGAGAGACACGTTGCTAGAGAATCTGAACTGGACAGCAGCGACCAGGGCTTGGGCCCAGAGCTCTCGCTGGGGGAGGGGAAAATGGGGCTCAGGCTCTGGAATCCTGGAGGTTCTTCAGAGCCCCGTTGAGAGCAAGACCATAGCCAGTGGAGCTGGGATCCTAACATGGGCGGTGGGGCTACACCTAGGAGTTTGTGGCTGGGTGTCTCCAGGGTGGAGAGCCTCTTGGTATCAGATAGTCCTGTGTATTGGTCCAGAGGTCCCTGGATGCAGTCGGTGTGACTTCCTAGGTTACTGGGACTGTGTGTGGAAGCACCAGGGCATTGGCGGGTGGGGCCCTCAGGGACCGAAAAGAGGGCTCCGCGGTGGAGAGAGCTGGCCTACTGACTGGGTTTGCAAGGACACATCGGGCACTCTTCCGCCTTGTCTGGCTGCCCCAGCATTTGTGGAAAGAGAGGGGACCCTGGGCCCACCCGGGACACGGTGGGATCTCCAACTTCTCAGGGCCTGAGGATCAGGCTGCCCCGGAGCGGCCCTCGGCCGCCTCCTCGCGCTCACTCCCCCTCGCTCCTCGCTCGCTCTCTGGCTCTTTCTCCTGCTCGCTCTGTCGCTGGCTCGCTCGGGCCCCAGCCCCCGCCCTCCGCTAGCTCGCCGCCTGCGGCTCCTCCTCACTCGCCCGTCGCCCGTTCTTGGTGCAGCTCTGCCAGAACCACCGCGGGCTGCGCGTCCGCCAGGAGCCGCTGCCTCGACCCTACTGCCCGGTTCGCTCTGCCCGGATTCTTCTGTCCGAATCCCTCTGCTTGTACCTCGCTGCACCGATTCCTCTGCCTGGACCTCGTTCTGAAACTCGGATGCTTGGAGCCTTCTGCTCACATCCCTCTGCCTGAACCTCGCTGCCAGAATCCTGCTGTTGGATCCTTCTGTCTGGACCCCGCTGCCTGGATTCATCTGACTGGTTCCGGCTGCCCGGATCCTTCTACCTGGACCCCGCTGCTCGGGTCCTTCTGTTTGAGCCCCGCCAAACGGATCTCCCGGTGAGGAGCCCGGCTCCGCAGCCACGATGCCCGTGGCACGGCCACACACCGCGGGACCCGGCAGGATCACTCTGCTTCTGGTCGCTCTGCTACTAGGGAACCCGGTGGCAGCTCGAGAGGAAGGTAAGTACCCCGAGGGCCCCGGCCCAGAGGGGGCAAAGTTGTAGCGGCTAACCTGAGCGGTAGGGGGTCGCGGCTAGTCCGAAGACACACACGCCGCCGGGCCGCCGGGATTCAGGGCTGAGCACCTCATCCCTGCCGGAGCGCGGAGGTGGGGATGCGTCTGAAGGACTCTTGCCTTGGACTTCAGTCCTTCGTCGATCTTTCGGGCTGGGGCAGACTCTTCTTTTGTAGTCCAGAGGAGCTCCTTGGAGTGGAGACCTCTTCAAACCTACAGATTCTGCAAGCTCTCTGTAACTGCACCCAGGGCTGACTGCCAGGTTATTTTGTCGCTCTCTGTGAAAGAGGATAGGTATGGGAAGGGGACAGCTGACTGCTTATCACCAAATTCCCTCCCATCCCACCATCCTACACTGGCTGGGGCTACCTGGAGGGGCTGTCCCCTGGATGGGTCCCAGTAAAGTGTCAAGAAATTGGACTTGGGTGTGGCTTTCGTAGATGGAGGGCACTCAGGGCTTCCAGAACTTGGTGAGAAAGAGATGTCAGAGCGCCAGTGGCTGGGCCCCTCCTCCCCCATACAGCCTAACCTCCCTTATCGATATTTGCAAGGAAGTGGAATGCTAGAGCAATCCAAGTGCTTGCTGGTTAGAAAAGGGTTTGAGTTTGTGGAGGTTGTCAATCCCTTCACTACCTGGAGCTACACCTTTGCTCCACCCTGCTGGGGTCCCAGGAAGTTATAATGAGATACTGAGGTAGAGACAGGAATGGGAAATCTAACTCATCCAAAGCTGGCCCCCAGAGCTATGGGGATTGACATACTGGGAGAGCCTAGTGTGCCGGGTTTGAGGGATTGGACCACTTAGCCACTCCTCTTGGCAAGGTGTGACCCTTATTTCCCCCGTGGTAACTTAAAACGCATAGTTGGGATGTCTACCTGAGTTGACCACAGCATGGGGTGCTCCCCTGCCCATGTGAAGTTCCGTTTCTTTTGGGACTTATTGATCTGGAGTTCAGGGGACAGGCATGCATTGCGACATCTCTCCAGGGAATTCTGTACCCCTGAGTTCAGCACCAGAGGCCCCGGACAGCTCTCAGCTCCAGGCCCTGCTTCTGAGTCTTGCTCTTTTCCTTACGACCTGGAGTGCCCAGAAAGTGAGATCACCGACATGCTTTGCCCTTCTTTATTTAACAAAACATACTACTAAGACACCTCCCCTCTTTGTGAGGTTGTGGTATTTCCAATTTACACCAGGTCTGGGCTGTTTCCCTGGGAAAGATGGAAAAGAGGTTTGGTTTAAATCAATGCTTTCTACCCAGCATGCCCTTTCTTAATTAGCTGTCTCTTTCCAACAATAGCGTGGTGGCCTTGAATGGGGTCCAGATTGCCCTGCCCCAGCTGTTAAATCTGTACACACACACACACACGCACGCACACACCACAAGCAGCTCAGAGATGTCCTGGAGCTTGCCATCTTTTCTAAAGCGATTCTCCTTTTCAGTTCTGCATTCTCTAAATCACCACTCTGGGCATGGTGGGTGGGGTCCTAATGGCATGTATTAAATGTCACCCAGGATCAAGATTCTGCATCCTAATGCCCCAGTGTGTGCCAGTGTGTAGAAGGAAGAGCAGGATGTGTACATTTGTGTTTTCAATTTTTTAAGACACTTTGTGTTTTCCAATGCTTCACACCACGTCTACTGAGCATATATGTTTTTTTAAAATTAACTTCATGGCACCACCAAGTCAAAGTCTACTGATGTACTTCTTCCAAAGGCTTATTACTAACCATGGGGTTCTGACTGAGTCATAAGAGAACCAGAGTGGCCCATGGGCACTGCCAGTTCTAAATGGTCCATTTGGAAACAACCGATCTTCCACAATGAATTCTATTTTTAACCTGCAGCTCAAATCCACACAGACCAGACAGGAGAGGTGTCAGAGGAGGCCAGTGTTGCAGACTAGACTTTCTGCTTGCCCTGTGAGGGGTGGGGACTTGTTGTGGTGTGCCTGCCCGTGCAGGGCTCGCGTTCTCTGGGATCCTTTGCTGGGAAGCAGGAATAAGTATGAAATGTATGTTTTTGAAGAGGGCCCTTATTGTCTAAAACACACATATGGAGAGTAATCATACGTACATGCTAAAACTGAGCTTTCTTTTTCCCTTGGGTTAACAAAGCAAATTCAATATTGCTCAGCAAGACTCTAACTTGCTACCTCCTGCGATCTCTGACATATGTCGCCGTTACATTCCCCATAACTCTCTTTTCCTATGAATTGCTGTCCTTTTTCAATGAGTTTGGGCTGCCTCCACCAGTGGCTACCTGATCCACACTTGAGGGATTCTTCTTGTGTTCACATCGCTCTGCTGTACGTAGGGAAACAATACCCGCCTACTTTCTTTTCTCCTCCAAGGCAAAGAGCATGTTTGCTGAACAGAACTGTTTGGTCCATGACTTCTGATCAGGAGTTCGTCCTTGCAAGGAATGCAGTCTACCCGCTCTCCAGCTTCGGGATGGTTTGCTGCTGCAAGCCAGTACTGCGTACCTCCACTAGGGGCGCTCAGGGTGGTTTGCTGCTGCAGACCAGTACTGCGTACTTCCACTAGGGGCGCTCAAAGCCGCAACTGGTAGCAGGAAAGAGGCAGATTTGGTTAGCTGGAAAGAAGCCCACGTGTGAGTCCTGATGAAAGCCAGGATGGTTTCTCAGCCAGGTGATGGCCTGGCCGTGTGACTCCACTCCCTTCTTGTTGTACTTGATCCTTATTCCTCCGGCATAAATCACTGCCAGCTTTTGATACACAGTGAACAGCGGGGAAGCAGAGATGAGAAGCCGGCAGAAGGATGCTGTTCTCAGAAAGGTATCTTCAAACTCAGACCCTGGCTCATCCTTATCTGCCAGTGTTTGGACTCCATTAGAGAGGCAGGGCTCTTCTGGAGAGTGACTGGGCTGAATCTGGGGAGCAGGTTAGCAGGGTTCAGGAAGAGCGGCGTTGAAATCGGAACTGCCCCCACCCCAAAGCTCACTCCATTGCTTGGATGCATTAGACCTTCAAGAAGACCATCTTGTCTGGGATTCCATTCTGCCACTGGGAGGACATAAACAGAAGCGGGGGTGATGGAACCAACCTGGAAGGGCGGTTACAGGATTCTTTCTGTAATTGGTGTAGCGGGCACACATCCGACAGGCAGGCCATGCTTTTCTGAGCAAACTTCCTCTATGAACAGGCACCAAGAAGTCAGTCTCCTGAAGTTAGGTGAAGCAGATGCTCACATAAACACTGAGGTGAGGCCAAAGTGAGGGGGAGGGGCCAGCAAGCAGCCCTAGTTGCCTGTCCACAGCCTTTTTTAGCAAGGGAGAACTTAGTACTACATGATAGAGACAGTTTTCCTTCCCAGACCCTCATACTGCCAGGCTTTGAACCTACAACCAGGAATCGGAGTTCACAGTCAATGGCAATGAAGGTGTGAGAGAACCTTCTAGAAAAAGTTCAAGTCTACGTGCTGAGTTCTGACATGGCTCTGTTGAAGCCACTGTAACAAAAATCCCTTGGGTTATATGACTGGAAACATATTAGTTCACTAATCATAGTTCTGGTATCTGGAAGTCCAAGCTCACAGAGTTGGTATCTGTTAAGGACTGCCCACTTGATGGCTGAATTCTCACTCTCATGTGCTGACCAAAGACAGTGAGGTCTGGGGCCATCAGCTCATCTTGGGGTCCAACCCCTCAGACACTTTCCAAAGCCTGTCCTGAGCGTCATCTAGTTAGGAATGGGAGTTTGATGTATGGAAGGGGGGACATGGGAGACACTCATGGCACTGTGCAAGGCCCTACTTCCTGTGCAGACCTGCACCCCAGCAAGAAACCTGAGGGTTCTGGGCTGTCAGTCTAGTGCTTTGGTGGAGGGATAGACCACTGTGGAGTCTGACAGGCAGCCATATATTGTTCTCACTGGGGCTGATAAGCAGAAAGCACTGGGGCTGGCCCTAAAGGGATGCAGCAGGGGCCAAGAAGAGAGTTCTACACCAGGAAAAGAAACCCTGTAGCAGACAGAAACCCACAGGAGGAGGATGGAGGCACATACACTTGCTGTCCTCCCTGTTCCCCCAGATTTCGGGAGGTCCCTAGATGAAAGGGAACAAAAGATGGTGAGCCATGGTGTTCATTGTCCTTCACTGCAAATGGAGTGCAGTCCAGCTGGTAAGAACATGCTAGTTCCCATTCAGTGTCCCACTGCTATGTTTGAGGAAGCAACCCTGAGGTGGCCCTGAGAATAGCAGAGAGTAAACCTGCTGGCTTTGTGAGGGTCTTGGAGCAGGAGGACAGGGTACCTCTGCAGACCACAGCAGAGTGTGTAAGTAATGAAAGAATCTATTGTGGGGCATTGGCTCTGTTCCAAGCCTTGTGCTGGGTGATTTGTGACAATCGTGTGGAGAATCCTCACCACACAACCCACCAGACAGAAATGCTTGTTACTCCTGCTGTGCAGATAAGGGAAACTGAGGCACAGAAAGAAGGGGCTCACAAATGGCTTGCAGCTATGTCAATCCCAGGCCTATATGCTACTCTCTTAATGTGGAGGACAGGTGTTACTTTTAGGAATCTCATTTTGGGAGGCAAGAAATGAGCAACTTATGACATTAGTATGTCAATGAATTCTGCTGTATTGCCCATTTTACTTCATATGTGTGTGCATGTATCTTGGGGGAGGCACTGATACAGGGTTACATGTATCCCAGGCTGGCCTTAAATGCCTAATCCTCCTGCTTCCATCTCCCAAGTGCTTGGTGACAGGTGACACCACGTAAGGCTCACTCGTGCCCTGTGACATCATGCCGTACACTTTGAAATGGATGCAGCAAAGCCTGTTGTTCTCGGATAAAAACCAGCCTTTTGGCTAGTTGTGGTGGCACACACCTAACAGCCCAGCTCTCGGGAGGCTGAGCTGAGTGAGGATTGTGAGTTCCAGACCAGCTAGGGCTACAAAATGAGGCCCGATCGTGTG